AGCGCCGCACTGTCGGAGGGTCAGCGCTGAGGGAGCGCCGCACTGTCCCGTTTGGCTGGGATGGGGCAGTGGTGCCTGGCGAGGAGAAGCAGCTGCAATAAGATGGCGGGCTGTACCTGCATGAGGATGGTATCGGTGACTGTGGGGACACACTGCAGCTTCTCATCGTTACAGCAGCCAGAGCAGCGAGTGAGCAGAACACACGACGGGACAAAGATGTATTCGACCTCGTTGGGATATTCTCCACTGATGGCGATCAGAGTCTCACGTGTTTGACAGACCGAATGCCAGTACACATCCATCCAACTCATCACTGAGGGAGACAGAGTGAGAAACCTGCTCAGCCTCTCAGCCAATCCAGATCCCCCCTTTCCTGAGCACGGGGTCCGGTGCTTCAACACCTCACTTGGAGTACAGTCACAGCTGGCTCCTCAGAGCTGCAGTACATTCGTGAGCCTGAGCAGTCAATGTGAGGAGACTGAGATAACAAGGTGTAGAGCTGGATGAACACAGCAGGCCAAGCAGCATCAGAGAAGCAGGAAGGCTGACATTTCGGCCTAGACCCTTCTTCAGAAATGGGGGAGGGGAAGGGGGTTTCTGAAATAAATAGGGAGAGAGGGGGAGGTGGATAGAAGATGGATAAAGGAGAAGATAGGTGGAGAGGAGACAGACAGGTCAAAGAGGTGGGGATGGAGCCAGTAAAGGTGAGTTTAGGTGGGGAGGTAGGGAGGGGATAGGTCAATCGAGGGAGGACGGACAGGTCAAGGGGGTGAGATGAGGTTAGTAGGTAGGAAATGGGAGTGCGGCTTGAGGTGGGAGGAGGGGATAGGTGGGAGGAAGGACAGGTTAAGGAGGCGGGGACGAGCTGGTCTGGTTTTGGGATGCGGTAGGGGGAGGGGAGATTTTGAAGCTTGTGAAGTCCACATTGATACCATTGGGCTGCAGGGTTCCCAAGCGGAATATGAGGTGCTGTTCCCGCAACCTTCGGGTGGTCATGGTACTATTTAACTGCATGAGGCATTGTAATCAGGTCATTTCCCAGGCTCATTAGATGCACACTCACTCCCAGGGTATCTGTTATTCTATATATAACCGATCTCGATTAGATTACAGTCTGGAACTCACTCCTGGGTATCTGTTATTTTGTATATAAACCACTCGATTAGATTCCAGTCTGGAGCTCATTCCCGAGTATCTGTTATTCTGTATATAAACGCCTCGATTGGACTACCAATCTGGAACTCACTCCTGGGTATCTGTTATTCTATATAGAACCCACCCTGAGCTCCTCAATCAGATTCAGACACTGCCTCTGGGAGTGTTTGATGGGGACAATGTAGAGGTTGCTTCACCCTGTATCTAACCCTGTGCTGTGCGATGGGAGTTGAGGTCTGTGCAGCGGGGAACAGACAGACCCAGACTCAATCCGTTCCCCACCCTCAGCTCTGTTGCGGTCCCTTCCCTAATGCACTATGTAATTGAGCTGTGATTGGAACCTGCCAGGGTAAGCATGCCAATTCTTTGGCACATCAACGGAGAGCTCATGTTTCATTGCTATCCCTTCACAGCCCAGTCATCTGACACCACCTCTCGCTGATAGAGGAATTACATGTCATTATACATGTGTCACCCTCTCACACCCTCAGCTCATCTTTTTCCAGGAGTGTTTGATGGAGGGCACAGTGTAGAGGGAGCTTTACTCTGTATCTAACCCCATGCTGTCCCTGTCCTGGCAGAGCTCATGGTGAATATTGACAGAGACGGGTCATTACCTACCTTGGTTTGATTGCTGCGGTGTCTCCAGCGGGTATCGTGAAGGCTGAAAGAGCGAAGATTTTGATTAGAAGCTGGTGTGTAGACCTCAAACAGCTGATTAGTACACAAGTTCCCATCCGAGCCACTCACCATCCTCACCTGGAAATATATCACTGTTCCTTCACTGTCTCTTGGTCAAAATCCTGGAATTCCCTCCCCAAGGGCACTGAGAGTCAACCCACAGTGCATGGACTGCAAGGCAGCAGCTCACCCCCACCTTCTCAAGGGGCAACTCGGGACGGCTGATAAATGATGGGCCCAGCCAACATCCCACAAATGAATTTTAAAAAGCGTAAGGATTGAGAGCAGACATACCTAACAGAGACTGAGGTCATACCTCATTCCTTCATCAGCAGTTAAGACAGGGACTACACAGCCCCTTCTGCCCCTCTAATCAGACTATCCCTGCTCAACCTCTCTCTCCCACAGTGAGCTAAGGCTCCCCCTGGACTCCCTGTGGAACGACAGTGCTCAGTTCTGCCCTCTGTAGGGTTAGAGGAGGTGTCTCCCTCATAGGGAGTCCAGGCGCAGATACCCCAGGGTTAAAATGGAGGGACAGTGCTCAGTTCTGCCCTCTGTAGGGTTAAAGAGGAGGTGTCACCCTCACTGGAAATCCAGGCGCAGATACCCCAGGGTTAAAATGGAGGGACAGTGCTCAGTTCTGCCCTCTGTAGGGTTAAAGAGGAGGTGTCACCCTCACAGGGTGTCCAGGCCCAGATACCCCAGGGTTAAAAGGCTCACATTCCGAGCACAGACTGGGCTCATGACCCCTCGACTGTCAGGAGATGACCTGAGCGAGGGATTAAAAGGATTTGGTTGGCTTCATAGAGAGACACCGCTGTCTCCGATTGAGGCAAGAACTGGCAGGGTCCAGGTCAATGGTCAGGACCTTTAAAATCGGAGGCGGAACCTTTTAGGTCAACGCCAGGGGCACGTCTTCCTAGAGAGAATGGAAACAGGAACCGTTAGTATCGAGGCTGGGACTCGGTGGAGACTGTGTGAAGGTTTGTATTGCAATGATACGGGCTGGCGGAGACGGGCTGAATGGCCGTCAACCGTTCCTGTGTAAAGATGATCCCCAAGTCGGGCGGGAGTTACATTGAACCGAGGCTGTATCTGCTCTCTCAGTACAACTTGCGCCCAGATCACTGTCGGCTTACCTCGGCCTTTGAAAATAAATCGAGTGCATTTATTTACCGTCACTTGCATTTAAAAGGAGCGGTCACGCTGCAGGAAGGGTGCTGCAAAACCCTTCATCTCGGTGAGGGTGGAGGAGAGGCGAGGGGACGGTGGTGGAGGACATCCATGTGTCAGTTTCCGTCACCATGCTGTTACAGGCCGGTGCGTTGCTGCTGCAGTTCCGCCGAACACCAGCAGATGGTGATGGTGCACTACAGATTCCCTCGGCCACCCCGGGACAAGCAGCTTGGTACCAACCTGCTCACTGCACTCAACATCCCTGTGCCCTTCCTGCAGACCCTGTGCCCTTTAGCGAAGCTCTCTTGATGCAATGGGGTCAGGGATTAAAATAAAAGCCCCGGGGCAGCAGTTGTCCGAAGGTGGGGAGTAGCGCGCAGAGGGAGAAAACACAGCCAAGGCAGAAGTGAAAACAGACTTTGTTTTGGGAGCAGAAGCTCACAGGTTTGAGACAGAGGGTCCCCCAACATAGCACCCACCCTGACAAACCGCTCAAAGTCCCAGGCACAGATCTTGGCTGCATTCTGTCTGCAAACTGAAGAGATTTACTTGGGAACAGTTAATATTTCAGATCAAGACTCTGGCGTGGTGACAGCGTTATGTACTACAGCCCTCCTGCACTCATCAGACACACTGCAAAACGCCAAGAATCATCACCAAATGCACAGAGAGGATAGACGCTCCGACACCAGCGTCCTCTCCCGAGTCGAGATGACCAGGATAGAGGCCCTGGTCAGGGAGTGTCAGAAACATGTTCCTAACTGCAAACGTGTGGTGGATAGGAGGCCACAGGACACGGTACAATGCAGCGTCCCCATGCACGCAAAAAAAATCTCTGCACAAAACCCTGCATCAGGGAGGGATTTGGAGCATCTCAGATGAGCCCCTCTAAACAGCAGAAGGAGTGTGTAAATAAAAAAAATTAGCATCCTGCCTACCCAACCCTTCGAATATCACCTCGCCCGGCTGTTGGAGGTGTGTGGGTCCAGTGCTGAATCACAGAAGGTAGGTTTGCAGGTACAACAAGTAATTAGGAAGGCAAATGGAATTTTGTCCTTCGTTGCTAAAGGGATTGAGATTAAAAGCAGAGAGGTTATGTTGCAGCTGTACAAGGTACAAGGTGAGGCCACACCTGGAGTACTGTGTGCAGTTTTGGTCTCCTTACTTGAGAAAGGATGTACTGGCACTGGAGGGGGTGCAAAGGAGGTTCACTAGGTTGATTCCGGAGTTGACGGGGTTGGCTTATGAGGAGAGACTGAGTAGATTGGGATTATATTCATTGGAATTCAGAAGATTGAGGGGGGATCTTATAGAAACATATAAAATTATGAAGGGAATAGATAAGATAGAAGTAGAGAGGATGTTTCCACTGGCACGTGAAACTAGGACAAGAGGGCATAGCCTCAAGATTAGAGGGAGCAGATTTAGAACTGAATTGAGAAGGAACTCACCCAGAGGGTTGTTAATCTATGGAATTCCTTGCCCAGTGAAGTAGTTGACGCTACTTCAGTAAACGTTTTTAAAGATAAGGTAGATTTTTTTTTGAACAATAAAGGAATTAAGGGATACGGTGAGAACGCGGGTAAGTGGATCTGAGTCCACGAAAAGATCAGCCATGATCTTATTGAATGGCGGAGCAGGCTCGAAGGGCCGGACGGCCTACTCCTGCTCCTAGCTCTTATGTTCTTATGTTCTATGTGAACAAATACAGAAAGGAAGAGCCAGCGGGTATGAGGCAGCGTTTTTAAGGAATGACTGAAAGGAGCAGCAGGAGAAGGGGTTGGAGTAGGTTCTGGGAGGGAATTTCGGGGGTCTGTTGGTAGGAAATCTCCCTACGGTGGTGGGGAAGAGAGGTGGGGTGCGGGGAGGATGAATGGTTGTGTACGTGGAACTGGCCCTGGGTCTTGGCTCTTGCACAGCGGTTAGCTCGACCTCCGTTTGACTCTGTCCCGTTTTCTTCCCTCCAGACCAAAGAAAGATTTCAAAGAATTCACAACAAGGTAAGGGAAGATGTCGATTCTATCACGCTCATCATGTCACTGCTGATCTGAGCCGGAAACAGGGACTTTTTTTTTAAAATAAAAACCGAAAGAAGTGCAGATGCTGTGGATCAGGAACAAAAACAGAAGTTGCTGGAAAAGCTCAGCAGGTCTGGGAAGAAAAAAAACAGTTAACATTTCGGGTCTGGTGACCCTTCCTCAGTACAGATGGTGGCTGGGAAAACGTCAGTTTATATGCAGAAAATAGGGAGGTGGGTGGGGTAGGGAGTAAACGATAGGACACAGCCCAAAGAGAGAGAAAGACAGTTGGACAGACGAAGGAGTTGATAACGATCAGGCTGGGAGGGTGAATAGTTGTTAATGGGGACTGTTAGTGACTAACAACAGGGGGTGTGTAGTGGCAGGCTATGTGGTAACAAGGCCTGGTGTGTGGGGTGGGGGACTGGGACATGGGAGAGTTTAGGCCCCAAAATTATTGAACTCAATATTGAGTCCGGAGGGCTGCAGGGTCCCCAAGTGGAAAATGAGGTGTTGTTCTTCCAGTACAGCAAGCTCCTTATGTGATCACGATGCAGCTGACCTGAGTCTTTAGTGACGTTTGTTGTGGGATAAATTGCAGCTCCTCAAAACTGGAATAAATACCTCAATTTCCACGCACCCCTTCCCCCCCGATCTGTCTCAGTAGTAGCACCTCAGACAGTCCAGCACTCAGATAGTCCCGCACTGGGAGAGTCTTACAGATAGATATATTAATAATAACAGTCGGCCAGTCAGCCCATCAAGCCTGCTCCATCATTCAATAGGATCAGGGGCTCGGGCCCTTCACTGAGGTACCCCGGGCAACAGCAGTTGTGAGGTCCAAAGTCTCAGGGTTAGGGGAGGGAGTGGGGAGGGGACACAGTCTTCCAGCTGCTTGCACGCAGCAGGATCCCACAAACAGCGAACTGATGGGTGCAGAAATATCTCTTTCTTTTATTATTATTGAAGCAGTCGGGCGAGGGAATAAATGGGGAGAAGTCTGTGCCACTCGGGCCGATGCTGTTGGTGGTGGGAGTCCCATTCCCGCTCTCGGAATAGGGAACGCCCCGGGCGAACTGGTCAGAACGCTGCCGTCTCATTGGTGCTTTGTACTTTGAAATGTCTCTCCTGCAGGACAGACCAGACAAAGCATAAGAACGAGAGAGGACAACGGAGGAAACTCAGCCAGGAGCCAACTCGCCCGTACGTGTGGGTCTGTGTGCCTGTGTCTGGGGTCTGGGG